TCAGTTTAAACCTATCAGGAGAGGAACTAAGGGCAAATATGCTCTTGACTTCCCCTTTCCCCCATTTCTTATGGCTAAAATGACACATACCCTATAGGACATGAAGCCTAATTGATGCAAGATGAGATAAGTCACTTCTTGAAGCATATTAAATTATAAGAAATAATAGGGAGTGGATTGCAGTGAGAATTAGAAAATATCTAGCACAATAATTTATTTTAGGTGTTGACTAAAACATTATTAGAAGGGAATGGCAACCCACGCCAGTAATCTTGCCTGGAGAATTCCATGGACCGAGTAGCCTGGTGTGTTACAGTCCATGGGATCACAAAGAGTTGGGCATGACTGAGTGACTAAACAGCAACAACAAATAATTCAGTCTAAAAGTAGAGAGTTATGTTTTATTTGACAGTAATTTTTATGATATCAGGCCTGGGAGTCAGCATCTCAAGTAACCCTGAGAGAACTGCTTCAAGAGGGTAATGGGAGAAGTCAGATTATATAGAAGATTGCCACAAAGGGCAAGTAGTTTGAATGTCAAAATACTATTTTTAATTAAAGAAAATCAGATATGCCAAGTTAAGGAATTTAGCACTCTTCTACATATGGGAAGAAACAAGAGTTGGTATGCACCTCAGATGTCTGGGGCCAGTGTCCTGTGTTTTCACATCCTGAGTTTCCACAGGGTTCACTGTAGAGAGTGGCTGCAGTCTGGTGGCTGCTAGATGGCAAGTGTTCTTTTCTTCATGAGTTCCTCTGGGCACATCTGCTCATGTTGGAGGGCTGCAAGCCTTGATTATTGTGACATCCTTTGTTTACAGATATGAAAAGCAGTATTTCATTTGTCACAGGCATTATATTCCCTTTTTTATCATCTTTATACTCACCAAAATATTGAGGACAGACTGTGAGGATTTACACAATCAGCTAACAACTGGAATACAGAAAAACTTTAATCTTATGGAAATTTGCCAAGAATAGCCATCAACTCATTTGAGGATACTGCTACTGAAATTTTTAAACAAAACATATGTGTTCATTAGGTTTATCCTGGAACACAAATATGCTCTGTATTTTGATGATACAGGAGATGTAAGACATGATACCTATCCTTAAGAAACTTATTATCAGATTCAAGGAAAAGAACAAACATACATCTAAAGTAACTAAGGATACAAAAACAAATACAGAACAGTCTTTTTCTGTCTAGCCTGCTTTATTATAAATATGAAGAAGAGAATAATATAGCAGTAGAAAAAACTTGCTGTAACATCTATATCTCTAACTGAACTTAGACCATGTAGAAAAGACAAGACATTCAAGAAAAAAAAAGTAAGCATTAAGTATATTATTTAAAAAAGTGAAAGTGTTAGTTATGCAATTGTGTCTGACTTTTTGCAACCCCAAGGACTGTGACCCCCCAGGCTCCTCTGTTCGTGGAATTCTCCAGCCAAGAGTAATGGAGGGGTAGTCATTCCCTTCTCCAGGGGGTCTTCCTGACCCAGAGATTGGACCTGAGTCTCCTGCATTACATGCATATTATTTACCATTTGAGCCTCCAGAGGATTAGAAATTGGCGTAGACTGAATCAAATCCGTTGAGGAATTTTGGAAAAATAGCATTTGTGTAAGTTGTTTTGGGTCATATATCAGGGGAAAATAGCAGATTTATATTTTTTATTGCTACTTACCTAGAAATATTTATCTCTTGATGGCACATATAAAAAGCCTAATAAATATTAATGAAGAAGGAAGCCAAAAGAAAATTTGTCAAAGTAGAGAAAAATACTATTTCCCTGACCATGGAAGTTCTACATGAAAGCAAATACATCACAAAACTAATGCAAACATTATTTTTTATAAGTTTACTTCATTCCCAGGAGATCTTTATCTGAGCCTATGTCAAGTATTCAAAGATATCCTTCAGGAAAATCTAAATTAAGCAATGAAAATCCATATGACTACCTCACTCGACTATCTATCATCAAGTCTCTCTTCTTGATAAAGTAGTGAATCAGTTATGCTGTGTCAGATAGTGATTCTGCATAAATGAGAATTATTTTCTTATGTCCAGACTGACCCTGCAGCTATGGAAGTACCCATTTATGTATTAACCAAAATTTCCATTAAAGGAATCCAGAAATCTGTAATCCCCAAATCTTAAATATAAGTCTGCTTCATGATTTAATTTTAACCTTTAGTGAGGTTTTGTTTTCGTTCTAAAAACTTGCTGTAACATCTATATCTCTAACTGAACTTAGACCATGTAGAAAAGACAAGACATTCAAGAAAAAAAAAGTAAGCATTAAGTATATTATTTAAAAAAAGTGAAAGTGTTAGTTATGCAATTGTGTCTGACTTTTTGCAACCCCAAGGACTGTGACCCCCCAGGCTCCTCTGTTCGTGGAATTCTCCAGCCAAGAGTAATGGAGGGGTAGTCATTCCCTTCTCCAGGGGGTCTTCCTGACCCAGAGATTGGACCTGAGTCTCCTGCATTACATGCATATTATTTACCATTTGAGCCTCCAGAGGATTAGAAATTGGCGTAGACTGAATCAAATCCGTTGAGGAATTTTGGAAAAATAGCATTTGTGTAAGTTGTTTTGGGTCATATATCAGGGGAAAATAGCAGATTTATATTTTTTATTGCTACTTACCTAGAAATATTTATCTCTTGATGGCACATATAAAAAGCCTAATAAATATTAATGAAGAAGGAAGCCAAAAGAAAATTTGTCAAAGTAGAGAAAAATACTATTTCCCTGACCATGGAAGTTCTACATGAAAGCAAATACATCACAAAACTAATGCAAACATTATTTTTTATAAGTTTACTTCATTCCCAGGAGATCTTTATCTGATCCTATGTCAAGTATTCAAAGATATCCTTCAGGAAAATCTAAATTAAGCAATGAAAATCCATATGACTACCTCACTCGACTATCTATCATCAAGTCTCTCTTCTTGATAAAGTAGTGAATCAGTTATGCTGTGTCAGATAGTGATTCTGCATAAATGAGAATTATTTTCTTATGTCCAGACTGACCCTGCAGCTATGGAAGTACCCATTTATGTATTAACCAAAATTTCCATTAAAGGAATCCAGAAATCTGTAATCCCCAAATCTTAAATATAAGTCTGCTTCATGATTTAATTTTAACCTTTAGTGAGGTTTTGTTTTCGTTCGGTTGCTCAGTCGTGTCCAACTCTTTGTGACCCCATGGACTGCAGCACACCAGGCTTCCCTGTCCTTCACCAGCTCCCAGAGCTTGCTCAAACTTATGTCCATCGAGTCAGTGATGCCATCCAACCATCTCATCCTCTGTTATCCCCTTGCCCTCCTGGCCTCAATCATTGCCAGCATCAGAGTCTTTTCTAATGAGTCAGCTGTTCGCATCAGGTGGCCAAAGTATTGGAGTTTCAGCTTCAGCATCAGTACTTCCAATGAATGTTCAGGATTTATTTCCTTTAGGATAGACTGATTTGCAGTCCAAGGGACTCTCAAGAGTCTTCTCCAACACCACAGCACAAAAGCATCAATTCTTCAGTGCTCATCCTCCTTTCTGGTCTGACTCTCACATCTTCAGCATTTATTGGGTCTGGTAAGCAATGCCATTCAAGAGTCCATGTGCTCCATCGCTACACCATGTCAGTTGCAGCAAAGGTTATAGATAAGCCTTAGAGGATTGAATTACACATGTGATGCAACTTAGAGCATCTAAACTATCCTTAATTTCTAATATGTTAGAAATTAAAATCATATTAAGATGGCAAGGTGCCCCATCAATAGAAACATACAGATTGATGGATTATAATGAAGACATGCACATCCCCATTGGAAAGAACTGCCAGGATCTCTCCCCACCATCAGGCCTTTATTTTTCTTTGATTTTAGCGAGTTTTAGTACTGACATTAACCTCTGTGAAAGACCCACAAGAAATGAACCTTCAGTCTAGAAAGTAACTGTCAGGAGAAGATGTTCTTTTGTACTTCATGTAATAGCTGTTTATATTAGCCTTTATTATCTTCTACTGCTTTAATGGAAGCATTTCTGATGAATCAGACACTTATGTTTGTATATTTGTCTTGATTACAAAATCTATGCTTTCGACTGAAAGCAGAGATCATCCCACAGATTCTCAGAAGTAAAATAGTAGTCTTAAAATATTCAGAAGAAACAGAGAGATTTCATCCTGAGCATATGCAAAGATTGTACAGAATGTAGAGCTGTATTTAAATTCTGACGTTTAATTTTGTGAGGTATAATTATTTTATAATAATCAACAATAATCTACACCTTTTCTTCTGGGAAAGTGATAGTCCAGATAAACTGGTTATATAGTTCTGAAATACTAAACTCGAATTGTGAGTTTCAAATAAGCTGATAAAACAAATTTTAAAAAGTAAAAAAAAAAAATAAAGAAAACTGTTTCAGTCCACAAGTTGACAGGCACAGGATAACTGATAATACCAATATTTACAGAGACCACAGATTACTCCACATTCCAGTTCTTCAGTGAAATGTATGAAGCCTGGAAGGCTTTTCAAGAAGGTCTGCTTTTCTTGTATTATTTTTTTCTCCCTTGTCTTCAGAGAAAAATATGTGAAAAAGGGATAATGAATAAAAATTAAGGCAGAAACTCCTGGGAAAATAAGTCATGGGAGAGATCCCACAGGGTACATTCAAATATAATTAGGCTTCTAGCTTTAGTTTTGTGGTAGGATTTTATGCATTATCTGAAATCTATTCTTGAGCAAGTTGATAACGGCTTTGATTGGAATAGTTTAGTAAATTCTACTATAACTGTATTTTCCTTCCAGTTATTTCTCTTTTAGTCTGTCATAATAATGACACATTTGTTCCTTATTTTGAGCAACTTAAAAAAAAAAGTTAAAAACATTTCTGAACCTAAGGAGACTTTCCTAGTGGAATGTTTCATTGAGGAGAATAATCATTTAATTATACAAATATTGATTGTATTTTGTTTTGCTATTTTTAGGTTTTGGAAGAAAAATTCTCTTGATACAAGACACAAAAGAAAGCCTTTAATAAAACAAATACACACAAAATCCTCCAAATTACAACCAGAAAAACAGTATTAGCAGTGTTGACTTCAGAAGAATCTAATCAATGATTCATTTTACTCTCAGCAAAGAACTCTACTTACATAGCCTGTGTCTAATGATTTTAAGCTCATCTCTTCTTTAGTTTCACTGCATAATTGTGTAGCAAAGTCAGAAGTGCTATGAAGAACTGAACTCTGCTTACTACCATTGGTCTGAAATACATTGTACACTTAGCCCCCTGTTTCTGGCTCTTTCACATACAGTGAAAATCATATCTTTTTCAGAAATCATAAGATAAAAGATCTTCTTTAACATCCAATAATCCAATAATAGTAAGACAGAAACAACAACATGAAGCAGATAAACATTTTACTGATGAGTCATTGTGCAGTGAAAGAGGAAGTAAATTAACACTCAACCTGTTCCATTGCTAAACATTCACGATGAGGATTTAACATCTGGACTAAGGAAACCAGATGGTTACAGAGAGAAAATTAGGCAACTTGAAGTCTTCAGAAAACTAAGAGCTCCCAAGTAGGGGGAAAATAATCAAGGTTGATTGAGCTTGTTGTTCATTCACTAAGTTGTGTCTGACTCTTTGTGACGCCATGGACTGCAGCACACCAGGCTCCCCTGTTCTTTGCTGTCTCCCAGAGTTTGCTCAAATTCATGTCCATTGAATGGTGATGCTGTCTAACCATCTCATCCTCTGCCACCTCCTTCTCCTTATGCCTTCTGTCTTTCCCAGTGTCAGAGTCTTTACCAATGAGTTTTCTCTTTGCATCAGCTCTTTGCATCAGAGCTTCAGCCTCAGCATCAGTCCTTTCAATGAATATTCAGGATTGACTGGTTTCATCTCCTTGCAGTCCAAGGGACTCTCAAGAGCCTTTTCCAACACCGCAGTACAAAAGCAGCAAGTGTTTTCTCCAGCACCACAGTTCGAAGGCATCGATTCTATACTGCTCGGCTTTCTTTATGGTCCTACTCTGATACATATACATGACTACTGGAAAAACCGTAGCTTTGTAATAAATTCACCTAAAACTATAAAGAGTCACAGTTTTCTTTTATAAGGACAACTAACATTATGTGTGACATCAAGAGGCATATGAATCACATTATATGGAAAGAGTTGGCCATTTTATTTTCTGTATTAATGGTAGATTACCAAACTGTAAACTCCATAAAGTTTGCCACCTTCTAACCCTCGACTAACAGAGTATATCCCACAAAGCCACTTTTAAGTACATACTTGATCAATGCAAGAATGAATGAATACACTGATAGAAATACTTGCATTTACAGGTTTTTAAAAGTACATATTATTCTCACAATCACTATATTCATGTTACAAGAAAAGCAAACTATTAATCATCTTCCCTTTGTCAAAGGTATAGAAATTTTTTCTCACTTCATATTTCAGTAGAAACTTTATTTCTTCAGTTCTTCTATACATTTATCTCTTTTCAAAATCTATACATGTCCAAAAAGTGTTCTGTAATTCTCAAGTTGTTCAAAGTATTTGTCCCTCAGGTTGCCTAATGCCAATCTTCAGAAGTAAAAAGTGAGAACCTGCATTGATATCAGTGAAATATTGTTCAATGTAGGGCTAAGTGTAGAAGTAGAGGCAAAGACACATCCCTCCCATGCTGAAATTCTCAAAGGAGGAGGAGAATTCCCAGGATCTTGCTGCATGCAGCCTCATTGCCATATACTTAAAAAAATATTTAGCTTCATCACAACCTGGCTACCTAATGATATCTTCTTTAAAAAGCAAGTTATTTTGTGTGTAAAAAGCCTTTCCTCCATAATTTTAAATGGAGAATCCCATAATAATGTATTTATAGTAATGCTTGTACCAACAGTATGATGATAAAGACCACTGTTGAGTTTAGCAATCCTAGGGGAAATATGTAAGTGATCTGTTTGACTTTATTGGAAGATTAAAAGGATTTTGCTTTGTTTTCCTCAATTGTTTTTTGTTCGGGACCCTCAGCAGATATCCAGTTGTCAGAAATGTGTGCATAAATTATTTGACCGTGAGAAATATTTTTATTTCATATTACCCTCAGTTGTTATAAATCATATAATTTAATTTCACTTATTTTTAATATTTCCTAAAAATGCAAAAAAAAAATCCTGTTATTTGCTTGCTAATAAGGGAGCAAGAGTCTTTGAAATGTCAAGAGAAGTAGTAAACCATGGTGATTCTAACATAATTTAGACTATTAACATTCATATACTGGAATGCCCATAGTATGTCTTTGAAAAAGTTTGTAAATAAAGTGATAAAATTCATGACTGGCTGGTATTCCACCTCTGTTATGATTTATAGTAAGCATTGGCTAAGATGTGTCTCTCAAAGTCTTACCTCAGATCTGGTTTAAGCAAGTAGAATGTGCCTTGAACAGTGTAAAGAAAAGCATTAAAAAAAAAAAAAAAGATACGGCTTGCCTAATAATTACATTTTATGGGCTAAATTTCAATAAATACCTTAATAATAGCAATTCTTTCCACACATATGAGACTGCTTTTCAATCATTTCAGAGCCCCAAACTACATAATAATAAACATGACTCACCTTTCTAATGTAAACATTCCATTAAGATGTCTGATATTGCTGATCCTATCACTATCATAGGATCAAACCTGGGTCTCCCACATTGCAGGCAGATTCTTTACTATCTGAGCCACCAAGAATCCCTGTAATATGTAGACCAATGTTTTAATCTTGCAATAACAGGTATTCAGCTAGAATGCATGGCTGTGGTTGTTAAGCTAGTTCTATAATATTACATATAATGACAGTTTTTTGTAATGGTTCTTTTATTAGTTTGCTAGAGCTACCATAGCAAAGAACCACAGATGAGGCTCCTTCAACAACAAAAATTTGTTGTCACAACTCTGAAGGCTAGAAGTCCAATATCACGGTGTCAGCAGAGTTGGTTCCTTTAAAGGGCGATGAGGAAAGGAGCTGTTTCAGGCCTCTCTTCTTGGCTTGTTAATTGTCATCTCTGTCTATTCGTGTTGTCTTCTCTCTTGATGTGTCACAGCCTCTGCTGGCTCAGATGATACGGAATCTGCCTACAGTGCAGAAGACCTGAGTTTGACCCCTGGATCAGGAAGATCCCCTGGAGAAGGGAACGGCTACCCACTCCAGTATTCTTGCCTAGAGAATCCCATGGACAGAGGAGCCTAGCAGGCTGCAGTCCTTGGGATTGCAATGAGTCAAACACAGCTGTGTGACTAACACTTTCACTTTGAGCTTCCCAGGAGGTGCTAGTGGTAAATAGCCTGCCTGACAATGCAGGAGACTTAAAGGGGTGTGAGTTCAATCCCAGGGAAGATCCCCTGGAGAAGGGAAGGGCAACCTACTCAAGTATTCTTGTCTGGGGAACCCTATACATAGAGGAACCTGGTAGCCTACAGTCCATAGGATTGCAAAGAGTTGGACACAATCAAAGCAACAGCACACACGCACACATGTGTCTAAATTACTCCTTTTTATAAGGACATCCTCAGAGAAGGCAACGGCACCCCACTCCAGTACTCTTGCAGGGAAAATCCCATGGACGGAGGAGCCTAGTAGGCTGCAGTCCATGGGGTCGCCAAGAGTCAGACACGACTGAGAGACTTCACTTTCACTTTTCACTTTCATGCATTGGAGAAGGAAATGACAACCCACTCCAGTGTTCTTGCCTGGAGAATCCCAGGGATGGGGGAGCCTGGGGCTCTGCCATCTATGGGGTCATACAGAGTCACACACGACTGAAGTGACTTAGCAGCAGCAGCAGCAACCACCAAATCAGGTGTTAGTTACCCATGCAACCAACCTCCACTNCCAAAGCCTCTTACTGTGTGGATCACAATAAACTGTGGAAAATTCTGAAAGAGATGGGAATACCAGACCACCTGACCTGCCTCTTGAGAAATCTGTATGCAGGTCAGGAAGCAACAGTTAGAACTGAACATGGAACAACAGACTAGTTCCAAATAGGAAAAGGAGTAGGTCAAAGCTGTATATTGTCACCCTGCTTATCTAACTTATATGCAGAGTACATCATGAGAAACGCTGGGCTGGAGGAAGCACAAGCTGGAATCAAGATTGCCGGGAGAAGTAGCTATTCAGGAGGATATGACATTCAAATTCAATCATTTAAACCACTGCTTAAACAAAACTCATGTATTTTCAATTACTGGTAGAGTGCATAAAAGAAGACTGATCTAGGTACAAGCTGAAGAAGGCAGCATAATTTACCAGTTTGAGAACATGAGCTTTGAGTAAAACAAATGTTTTCTCCACCCTCTCCTATTTTATCTTAGGCCAGTTACTTAACCTTTGAAGTCTCAGCTTTCTCAGGCATAAAAAGTGAATAAAACTAATTAAATCATTAAATGATGAGCATTAAATGAGATAGCATCTAAGGCATCTAGCAAATGTTATGCCCCATTGTGGATTCTCAGTAAGTTGCTGTTACTTATATAAACTTGGATAAAATGCTGAATTTCTGACCAGGATATCCCTAATGTGTAAAACTGGCATCTGACATCTTAGGTTTTCATTACACTATACAGGTATCTCTTTGAGGTTCTGTCAGATGATTAAGTTGGTAAATTTTATGTGTTTTTTTCCACAATTCAAAATAAAAAAAATATATAGCCTGCAGTAAGATGTATTCTCTAACTCTGTGCATGCTTTGTTCAAAATAGTCAAAAGTCTGTTCATCAAAAACTAAGTTTGTGAACATAAGGAACTCACCAATGAATTTTTCTACATACTTAAAAATATTTTAAAAATTAAAATTTCAGAAATACTATTTTATACTTTTTCTTAATATTTACTTCCAGGAACTCAATATTCTAGGATGATTCCTTACATTTAAAATATCAGTCAAAATCTGTGCTTTAAAATATAATGCGATAGTCAAACATTATTGTAGCTCTCTTTTGATCGGCACTATGACATGTTGGAGATAAGGACTTGAGAGAAATATTGCTACTTTATTGTTTAAGTTTAGATATTTATAGGTACACAACTTTTGAATGATGAAAGTGTCTAAAATTAAATAAATTCTGCTATCCAAAGTGTTATTTATGAAAAGTGAAATACCCACAGGTTGATGTAAGGTGTTATTTTCTTTTTTAAAGTTCTTTATTGAAGATTTTTTTTTCTTGATTCCATAGTAAGGTTGAATGTATATGTGAGAATTAAGTTCAATTTTCAATATATAATATAACAGCAAAACCTGTAGGACATTAAAGAAATTTTAATAAAAAAATGGTCCATTTCTCCTAGAAATCAGCTCTCTGTAGAATAAATGTAAAAGTCTCACTGGGTTAAAGACCCATGAAATCTGGGTTTCTACCTTTGTTTCAGTTCAATTCAGTTCAGTTGCTCAGTTGTGTCTGACTCTTTGTGACCCCATGGACTGCAGCAGGTCAGACTTCTGTATCCATCATCAACTCCTGGAGTTTACCCAAACCCACGTCCATTGAATCAGTTATGCCATCCAACCACCTCATTCTCTGTCTTCCCCTTCTCCTCCTGCCTCCAATCTTTTCCAGCATCAGGGTCTTTTCAAATGAGTCAGCTTTTCACATGAGGTGCCAAAGTATTGAAGTTTCAGCTTTAGCATC